TTCCGTTCGTATTTATCAATGAAACGGATTGAGAAATTTTCGGATTTGATGACCAAAACAAGTCACCTACATCCAAAAGGAAAGCATTCTAATTTTCGTCTGCCGAAGCGCTATTCCCTAAGAGAAGTTTCATTTTACAAAACCATCTTAGAATATTTATTCATTAGAATTATTTGCACAAAGCTTTAAAAAGATGATTATGTTTGGATATGAAAATGTGAACGTAGTGTAGGTGTGCAAGGTGCGGCTTAACTCTCTTTTGACCGATGTTGGCAGTAAATTTTTTTTTAATTTTTAATTTAATGTAAACCATGTTTGCCACCTGCTATGTCTGTGCATAAATTAATTAATTAATTTTACAATAGTATGGGCTAGTTTTGATTTTTTATGAGAAGAAAAGTACTCCACTGCATATTTCGCTTTTGTAGTAAATGGCTGCCCTTAGTAATTAAGAGCGCCTTTAACTGAACTTTGTCTTAAAAAATTCGGTGCTCTTTCTGGCTGATGTTGCGTCAGTAATATCCTCTTTATTTTCTGCTGCGACATTAATTTTTCCACTAGACTTTCAATAAGTTGCTAAAAGTGGCATTATGACTGCGTGATAATGCCGTGATCAAATGCAAAATCAGATCAAAATTATTTAAAATTATTTTTTAATTATTTGTTACCTTCTATAAAGCGATCGAGAAGAAAGGCTTCAGATAAAGTGCAAATTTTAAGCAATTTTTGTGCTGGAGCTTGCTTTGCTTTCACTTACTTGAAGGTTTCAATATAGACGCTCTTCTCGCTCGTTAACATACTCCAATATTTGACAGTTTCCGCCGCGATACTCAATGTCGTTCGGGAACGTTGACGAACAGTTTTGGGATAACAATTCTGTGCCCGGCTGGCTAATTGTCTGATGTAAAGCAACGATTGATTTTCAAATATTTACCGGATTTTTCAATAGTTTTTGTTAACCAAGATTTTTTTCTACTACTTTTAGATTTAGAAAATTATTCAGTCATGAGAAATTAAAGAAAGAAAGGCTAGCATTTTTTTCTTACTTTATTTTCACATCCACCACCACATTACATTGCAAATCAATAATTTAATTCGATCTCAGGGAAAAAGTTGGGTTATATTCCATAATTTTCGTTTTCAATTCCTTAGTCATACCTTGTCTCTCGATGAATTGTCATGGTATGGAACCCTACAGTGTCGTTCTCCATCCAGCTTCGGCTAAATTTAAATTCGCACATATTACACACACAGGCCGATAGACTGAAGGATTCTCTATCCCTGTCTTGGATGTAGAAGATTTTCGATAAACTTAATGTACTCGCATCCTTGGGTGGATGAAATTTATATGCAATCTGTAATGTTGAGGCGCAAACCTTTTTGAAAGCGAATATTGCCATGCAGTTACAGTTAATGGAGAACGATACTGAGCGATTCCATACCATAGCACTGAAAGCTTTTGCACGGAGATTCGCACTCAAATTGGGCCAAGTCGGTCAAAGAACGCGTCAACAGTACAACACAATTTGGAATCACCTTTGTTGTCAAAAATAAGAAAAATGAGTTCCTTTTTCGTTGCTTATAAACCTGGCCAGACACCATGCTAGGTTCAGTATATGTAGACAAGTGGAAAAAATCGGCCATGCCCGTCCAATATTATAGAATATTATAATAGTTCGAAAAGAAGAAAATTTCAGGTGCTATAGAGAATATGTATATTCTTAACCAGGGTTAAATACGGACCCATCTGCGGAAATCTGTCGTCTCTGCGGATTTATGAGGTAAATATTCTTGCAATCAAAAAAGTGAAATTTGGCAGAAACAATGAAAATTGTTGCTGACAAATGTTGTGTTGAAACTCGGCGAAATTAGTCCTACCACACGGCCATAGTACAGTTGAAACCAAGACCAACCTTGCTTTCGAATAACAAAAATCGATCCCCTTTGATGGTTACTTAAACAATAGGTCATATTAAAGATTTTTCGGGGTCTTTTCCGCGGATGGTGTCGATGCCTATATATCGCGTAACACTCCCCTAATTATTTCAAAAGGTGACTTATCAGCTTACATTGATGGGTTTCTCATTTTTCGATTGTATAAAAAGTTAGATTGATTTCAGTGAAATATCCGCTTTTTTACTATAAAACAGAGTCAAAACGCTGCAAAAATAATTTGTGAAGTGTTCGGCGAAAATGCTGTGAATACACGAAGTTCCCTCGAAGTTTGCTCGATTTCACTTCAGAAGTTTCGAAGCACCTCGCAGTCATTGAAAAAGTGTCGACCAGATTTTGCCACTGGTAGAGCAAGACCGGTAAGCAAGCTGCCTGGAATTCGCGAAGACACTAAACAACAACAACATGAGTCTTTAGAAGCATTTGAAAAGAACAGGCTGTTGACCTAATTGCCATCAGTGAAATGCTGTTGAAATGGCAACGAACTCGAACCATTTTTGAAAAAATTGTTGTAGCCTGTCATTTTTTTTGCAATTTGGTCATTCACACGCAGTTATTCTGTAATTTTCATTAAAATCCCTTTGTCCCTTTTCGAGGATAGTCGCATCTCAAAATTCGAACGCCGTAGCCTTCACTGAAACAAGTGTAACTTGTAAATCACATGTGTCTGCAAGCAGTGTTGCGATTTATATGAGAGACCGGAGACTTATTGAATGATGAGTTAAGTGCACACTTGCCACAAATTTATAAAAACGTGTATATTAACCTTATTACGGAATCTAAAGTGTATGACTTCTACATCATGTTTGATTTATTTGCATACACAAATACATATATACGTATATACAGGTATATATGGATATTTATATTTATATTTGAATTTATATTTACATTTACTTTTATATGCATATGTGCATAGTTATATATGTACACGTGACTTTTTTTATCTATAAATTAGTAATTCTAGCATGATGGTTCACTTCAATTCGATTTGCATTCAACAGAGAAAATTGCTTGAAGGTAACTACCCAATTAATATCATAGAAATACATACATAGCGGTTTTTAAATTTATATTTAAACTCCTTAATGTGATGTAAGCGTAAAGAGACAATAATAAAAGACAAACAAGCCTTCAACTTTTACTGCCTATTAGACAAATAAACTAACATAGTTCTCTAAAACGGCACTTTACCATAAAATTAGATAATACCGTTATGGTGAAACAATACCGAAAATTAGACCTGATTGCAATATATAGGTTTAGCCTTTCACGAGAGCTTTACTTAGAGCAAATAGTTGATAAAATAGATCAATATGGTTCCCCACCACAATATTCATCGTGACATATTAAAAGCTAAATCTTTCATGCCTTTCGCTGTAGGAAGATGCGTGCGTATTGGACGGAGTTGAAAGCAGGCTTTCAAATCATTGAAATTTTCAACATTCGACAATCAGTCGATGACACTAGCGCTAATTTTTTTTTTTTTTTTCTAAATAGTCAATATCGTTATGTCAAGTTGCAGCATTATAAGTGCTCGTAAAAATGGCGTGATTTACTACGTCTTTAATAGAATTTTTTCTTTAGCTACCTACTAGCAAACTGGGTTAATATATGAAAGCTTGGCTTATTTGATATACTGAGGCTAACGAAAAGAAAGTAAAAGAAATCTGCGCAATTCTAGGGGATATCTTCAGTTGGGTCAATCACTCGGAATCATTTGCGCTACAAATTTGCTTAATGAAATGCAAATATTTGCCTAAATATGATATTAATAGTGTATATAATATTAGCGAACATTAGTATTCTTATTAGTCGATGTTAAAAATGAAATTCGAATATGGTTGTTGTTGTTGTTGCTGCAACAATTTGTGATATAAAGTAGACTTTTGCTCATTTCACCAATATTTTATATTAATTTCTGCCTTCAAGGCATAAGCATAAGCTCTTCACAGTATCATATTTCTTGGTATGGGTTTTTTTAAAATATATAATATATAATACAATAATAAAATAGGTATATCTATCGAAAACGTTAGTACATTCCCCATCTTTTTCTCTCTCTTTTTCCCCTTCTCTTTCTCTTTTCACTTTCTCCACTTTCTTTTGTTACTGTTTTTGTAATTGCGATTCGAAATAATAATTTTCATTACGATTTTTTTCTTAGCTTTATATGTTTCGGATAAACTAATGTCCGTATGAAATTAAGTGAAGCATTATACCGAGAAAACTTAGTTTTTTCTTTGACTTTTCCTTTCGGCCAAATTAATTTTGAGAAATCCAAGTAACAGATCATAAATTAAGGAACAAATGCTTAGCCACAAAATCACATAGCACCAAAGCAAAGTAAATTGCTTTCTGTCTTTCTTCCGTTATCCACCTTACTTTTACTGTGAAATTCTACTAAAAAAGCAATATTATAAATAATATAAATAGACTTTTTTTAAATACTGTCAGTTACAGCCTAAAGAAAAAATTTTAATAAGCAAATGAATTCTAGAGCTCGCTACTCTTCTTTCTAGAAGTCCACTGTAGATTCCATTACGTTTCCTACTTCGTTAACATAATTATTCACGCGGCTCCGTAGGTATCCTTTACGATTTTGTCTGTAATAGGATAAAAGCTTTAAAGTTTTCTTTCACCATCATTAGCTTCTTTTCTTTCCAGTGCAACTATGATGAAATTCAATCAAAACGGAGAAATAAAACGATTTAAAGGGTTTTAAATGATCGAAACCAGTTTGTTTTAGGAGAGTGTGAGTCCACACTACTTTAAGGGTCAAAAATCAATTTTAAAAATGATGTGTGATCGCAGCCATAAGGGATTTCAGATTCAGACCAAACTTGTGGGCACATCTATCCATCTGCATAACTTATTGCTATTGTTGTTGTTGTTGAAGGTCCCATAAAAAGATAAAATATTTTATATTGTCTTAGTTAATGGGAAAAAATGGAATTTGAAATACAAAACGTTAATATAGCCTTAATATCGGGAAATACCCATTATGTCGCGATCAATAAAATTGTTCGTTTATTTTCACACTTTCTTTACAGTAAATTCAACAATTGTGGAACAACTTGCTGTGGCTTCAATTTTTCGTAACAAGGTTTAAGAAAGAGTTGACGCTTCTTGTCGGCATTAAAATGTCCATGCCCTTTCGACCAATCATAGCCTAATGCATATTTGACCATACGG